TGAAAGATAATTCTCCAGATACAGAATTCACAGTTAACACTTCTTTCCTTTGATATTTAAAAACTGTTGCTTTCATCTGGCTGCCATAGTTTCAGCTGTGAAATCTACTGTCGTTCAAATTAGTGTTCCCTATAAGTAATGCATCATTTCCCTCTGACTGCTTTCAAGATATTTTTTTAATTAGTTTTCAGAAGTTTGACTATGATGTGACTTGAAGTAAATTTCTTTGAATTTATGCTACTTTAGGTTCATATAGCTTGTTGAATCTATAGATTTTTATCTTTCATTAAATTTGAGATATTTTCAGCCATTATTTCTTGAAATGTTTTTCAACCCTACTCTTTCTTCTCTCCTTCTAGGACTCCCATGATGCAAATGTAGGATTTTTTGTTATTGTCCTACAGGTCTCTGAGACTCTTTATTTTTTTTCCAGTCTATTTTCTCTGTGTTGCAATTGAGTAGATTCTACTGAACTCTCTTCAAATTCACTGATTCTATCCTCTGTCATCTCCACTCTGTTTTTGAGCCCATCCAGTGAATTTTTTGTTTTGTTGTATTGTTCAGTTCTATAAGTTCCATTTGGTTATTTTTATATATTCTATTGCTTTAAGTTTTTCTAATTTTTAATTTTTTTTCAAAAAATCTGTAATAGCTTGTTGAAATGTTTTATGATGGCTTCCTTAGAATTCTTGACAGATAATTTTAATATCTGATTCATTCCATTGTCAGCCTCATTTCAATTGATTGCCATTTCTCATTCAAGATATGATTTTCCTGGTTCTTATTATGATGGTTGGTTTTCTAATTTATCCTGGAAAGGTGGCTGTATATTAAACATCAATAGAGTCTATTTAATTTTTTAATTCTATCAGAAAGCCTCTCTTTTTAGGTTTGGCACACAGATCCTGGCTTACTTTTGTAGGCTGTAGTTGCACTGACAATGTAATTTTCAGAGCGTATATGGTGCTGTTTTCATTTGCTCAGTTTATTTCATGCCTCTGGGCCTCGCCCTCGTCCTTTTTAATGCTGCTTGAGGGAGCAGAACAAGTTCCCTGAGGCCAGGTGTTTTAGTGTCTTTATTTTAAAGAAGAAGTTGTTTTCCAACCATGTGGGTAAAGAGTATTTCCTGGCTGGGCACTTATTGTGGTAGCTTACTCTAGCCTTTTGAGGCCTCAGGAGGGGGCTTGTGAGAGGGAGAATCTCTAGACTGTGAGGACATAAAGTTTCTTGGGCTGGGCACTTGTCTCCTTTTTTTTTTTTTTTTGGCTAGTCCTAATTCTTCAAAAGCGAATGTTACTTTGTGAGAACAAAGGTCCTTCTGAAGACCAGGGACATACAGCTTTCCCTATGCTTTCATAGATTATATCCCAGAGATCTGAAAGACCTGAAATCACATCTAGAAGTGATCTTTTCACTGCACTGAATTTAAGTGGATAGGATTGCAAATAGCTGTTTCATCTAAATCAGTAGCAACAACTTTTCTCTTTTAAACGTCTATTGTGAACATCTCATTAAGGTTATTTTGCCATGCCATTGATTCATATTTAGAATTGTTATTGTCTCTCTTCCCCCAACAACCCCCGCAAGAGGATGTCCTATGGAGCCAATCCAACTTAGGTTTGAATGCTGACTCTGCTGTTTATTAGCTGTATATTCTTAGCAAGGCTCTTAACCTCCCTAAATCTCATCTAGTAAATGATGATAGTATAGCTAGCATAAAATAAAATTCTATAACAAAATATAAAATAAGTACTTACCACAGTACTTAGCCGATAGCAAGTACTCAACAGATGTCTTGAGTAGCTACAGGCATCATCCTCACCAACATCATTATCATAGTCATTATCATTTCCCTCTTATAGAGAAAGAAACTGAGGCTTTTAAAGGACAAATAATTGAATGTAGGTCAGTTTGCACACTTAATGTCAGGAGAGTTGGAATTCAAATCCAGGTCTGACTTCTTCCAAATCCTTCTTTCCTAACCATTATGTAACTCTGCTGCTACAAATGATTACCTTATAAAATATGAATTTCCACGACTGCATGGATTCGTTCATATTCAGGATATGCAAAAATATAAGAATATGCAGTATACAGTTATATGACCTGGACATACCTAATTTTCAATTCATTTTTTATTATAGTGGTAAATATTCTCATAGAGATATCTATGCATAAAAATAGAAAAAAACCATAGGTAATTCAAAAGAACTTGACAACCAGGCTTTGATATAGGATGATTTTTAACCCTTTTGTCCAGAGTCAGATACTCCTCTTTATTATGTTTACCAGTTTCTGAAATATGATACATTTAAAGACAGTTTATTTTTCTTATGGCTTATGCTATTTCATTAAAATTTTATTATAATTTAGGATGCAGTTAAAACTTACAGAGACGTTTCAGTGTAATACAGTTTTACACAAATCTGTTTCTGCTATATAAAAAAGTAGTTCATATAATAGTTTTGCACATTGCTAAATTAATAAATACAGATCATGGTGAATTTCTGAATCTATAACTATAATGAAACAAAAACAATTCAAGAAGAATAATTTATGTTATTCTCCAATTAAAATAAAAGTGCATTTATGACAGACAAATGCTCCAAATGAATATGCCCAATTATTAAATAAGAAGAAACTTCACTAATTAAAAAATATTTTAAAAATAGAAGTTTATGTGTATATTGGGGCTTCTGTTTCATGAGTTGTTTTCCTGTAGTATAGAAGGTAAGCAATTATTATTTTTTTCTCTCAAGTGCTACTGATTCAGAGATTTAAAAAGAAAAAAATGCATTAATGGCCACATAGAAATCAAGAATATATTTATGTTTTATAATTTTGTGATGTAACATTCAATTCTGCTTTTTTGTAAGTTAAACACTCTTATTTATTACATATATCAAATAATATATAATATGCATATCTACACATACTAATTCTATATTTAAAATAAAAGAGATGGAGGCAATGGCAAAAAAGAAAAGTCAATTTTTGATGGGAAACGTGGAGGTTGATACATAGAAAGAAAGGGGAAAGAAAAAGAAAATGGAAGAATTACTGAGGAAAATGAGGAAAACCAGTGATGAGAGAGAAAGACCAAATTAAGAAAGAATGTTGCAAAAAAGTTTAAGCCCAAAGAACAAAGAGGAGAAGGAAGAAGAAAGCAAGATGGAGAAGGAAAAGAAAATTATTAGGAAGAACTATGAGGAAGGAGATGGGATGGAGGGAGACGGAGCCCACATAGAAGTCTAAATCTGTGAGCAGCAGAGGCCTGCTTTCATCTTAGATCTTAAGAAAAAATTAATATACTATTTTTTATAATGAAGTTCTACATTATGTGTATCATTCTTATTATACCTTTAATACTCTAATAATGGGTAAGTATATAGATCATTAACAACACTTAATTCCTCGAAAGCAAATCAGGTTTATATAAAGTAACCTAGAAATACTTTTCAAAACAATTATTTTCTTTGTATTCAAACCATAGCAGGCAATCTTTTGACAATCCACTTTGAATTAAAAATGTCCTCTTCATGCTATTCTCTGTGCTATATAAATTTTGCTCTTGCGCTACCCCCATACTGTGATATCTTTGACGGGGAACCTTATTTTATCTTTTTATGCTCATCACCCAGAGCTGTACTAGTAAATATAAAACAATAACTACTTCAATGAATAAATGAGAGTATTGTGTATGAATAGATGAAATACTGAACACTAGCAGAGACTTTACATAAGATAAAATGAACATTTCATTTCACAAAAATTATAACATCAAGCAAAAATTCAATTTTATTTTCTTATATAGATTTAAGTCTTGGTGATTGGTGCAGAGGGAATAAAATAAACTATAGTTTGCTTAGAAATCCAACTCTATATTTTTACCCCATATTTGCTTTCTGTCTCTTGTTTCATCAACCAGCCTAACTACTTTATGCTATGAAGACTAAAGAAAAGTAAATTTATTGAGTACATTCCATGTGGTAGTGGAAAGTGACATAGAGGAAACTAATGTACAATCTCAGTTGGTCAACTCTTAGGCTATTCTTTCTAGGCAATTACAACCATCTTTCTCTCCAGGTGTGCTGAGGTACCTTATTCTAACCCAAATAACTATATCTAAATAGTCATATCGTAAGTCCTCCTTACTTTCATACTGGTGCTCATCCCCTCTGAGTGTTTCTTAGGGCACCAAGCTAAGATAGCATAAATCTGTGTTCGCTAAGTTTTCCATTAAACATCAATTCCCCCAATTCTCCAGTCCAAGAGCACAGGAGGAAGGAATAGATTTAAATTGCTACATTTTCAGATTCTTTATTTTATTAACTGAATTCTTTTAATGCTATCCTGATTTGGGGGAGTTATTTTTAGTTTATCTTGAGCATGCTAGTTGAGTGATAGTTACTTTCTGATAACACTGGCTTAATTATATCTATTTAAATTTTTATTTTTAAGACCAAATAAATTGTCCATTAATCTAGTCAGTACAAAGACTCTGTGTGTATAACTGGTGGAAATATGATTTACATAAGGCCAAACAGTTATTTTGATTCATTTTAATCTCTTGGACTTATTTTCTGAGTGTTATTTTAATGACAGCTAAATTTAGTTATTTTGACAGGTAGATTTATTATAATTCTATTATTGTAAGCAGGTTGAAAGTTTTTGAGCGGGCCAGTGAACCAGCTTCATGATGTACCTGGGTGTAATTTCATTTTGAATGAAAATGTTTTCCTGTTATTTCCCAGTGATCTCACTTTTCATTTCATCATTGTCTTTAGAAAGTAGCCAAGTGGGAGACAAAGCAAATGTTTCTATTCAGAACCATGAATTTTACCAGGCTATAAATCATATTTAAATTTGCTTGTATGAATGCAGAAAGTCAGTATAGCTAATAAAACATTTCTTGTTCTTCCTCTTCATCAGAGAGTACATTAAATTTGTGAATCTACTATGTGAAGAGCACTGATCAAAATTCCATGTTAATTTTGCAGGTGATGGAAGTCAAAGGACAAATGATCCATGTCCCAGAATCAAATTCCATTTTATTCTTGGGCTCTCCGTGTGTGGACAAGTTGGATGAACTCATGGGCCGGGGACTGCATCTCTCAGATATCCCTATCCATGATGCCACCCGTGATGTCATTTTGGTTGGCGAGCAGGCAAAGGCCCAAGATGGCTTGAAGAAGAGGATGGATAAGTTAAAAGCAACTTTAGAAAGAACTCACCAGGCTCTAGAGGAAGAGAAAAAGAAAACAGTGGATCTTCTGTATTCTATTTTCCCTGGCGATGTGGCCCAGCAATTGTGGCAAGGGCAACAAGTGCAGGCCAGAAAGTTCGACGATGTCACCATGCTCTTTTCGGACATTGTTGGCTTCACAGCCATCTGTGCCCAGTGTACCCCCATGCAAGTGATCAGCATGCTGAATGAACTGTATACCCGATTTGATCACCAGTGTGGATTTTTGGATATTTATAAGGTAATGGGGTTTAGTTACTTATATATAAATATATTTTAATAGTAAATTGTGAATTAAATTGCAAGGATACACTTTTTTGTCTTTAGCTTGATAGTAAATGATGGACATCTCTTTAATTTAGAAATATTTATACAGAATACAGGTATTTATGCTTTATGAGTAAACTTTCATTTTGAGTCAATTCATAGTGTTGATATAGTATAGTATATGGTAACTGTGAATCATGATATTGCTCAAAAGGAAAAATTCTGTACAGCTAGTCCTCCAAATTTATTATTATTGAAAAATTAAACCTGTTGAATACTAGGCAACTTTTAACCACATAATTGTCTTTCTTAGAGATCAGGATTCCAATATAAACTAAGAATTTATGCTGGCAGTTAAAAAGAAGCGATAAGCTACGTTGAAATATGCATTGCATCATCAGTTAAATCATGGTTAATCAGTATTTTGCACTGCAAAATAGTTCTGAAAGACACGTGTAAATATTCGTGCTATTGCCCAAATGACCAGTGGCTTTTAGTGGAAGCACCTTAATTTTCCAAGCTGAATAAGGAAGAGTTTTGAAAATGGGTACCAATCACTATTGGTTGGTCTGATTTGATGAACTTATTAATTTGTTATTAAAACCATGGCAATATCTTGAGTGATTCATCCCCATATCTACCTACAGAATAACTCTGTAACCTTATATAGAATTTCATGTGGCTTGCACAATGGCAGGGTTCATAGCCTTATTACATGAATTATAGCACGTACGTTTAATATTGATAAACAGTAGTGAACTGCAGGTTTTTATTTTCTTCTTTAGTATTATAATTCACCTGGACATTGCTTTTTGTAGCATGATCTGCACATAAGCAGTTTCTTTGGAAAGAACCTATTTCACATTATTTTCATAAAGGTGTATCTTTTTTAAAGAAAGGTGTTCACTATTTCCATTATGTATAATACATAGCCAGTGCTAAATATTTTAGTGAGTCTCTTCTGAGGAGTAAACATGCAGTGTGAGTGTATATGAGGGACTTGCCTTATTATATAAAATAAGACTTCTTATAAATTATTTTTAACTTCTTTATAACATATTGTTATGTAATCTATGGTAAAGGTAGCCAAATGTCTGATGCTAAACCAGGAGAAACTAATGAGTCTGCCACTGTGATACCCAGCCATTTCCAGAAGACACAGCAGATTAGCCTGAATTTCCAGCACTTTCTTTTCTCCAGGACCGGGGCACTATTGCACTAATCTCTGCAACCACCCATCTCTTCCCTCTAAACCACTGATTTGCTGTGTTGGTTTCCTCCAATTAAAGTAGTCATATGTTATTGTGGTTCTAAGTTCATTCAACTAAATGAAAGTAATAAATAAATAAATAGATGCTCTTTTGGAAAAACATAGGGATCCCTGATTTAAATATAAGTATCTGCTAGGTTTTGAGAAAAGAGAAATGTGATGTCTTCTGAGGGTACCAAAACAAATTCAAGGTTTAAAAATATAATTTTTATTAGATTTTATGGACATTGCGTCTCCTTACTTTTGAGATAAGCTAGGACACCTCACAGAAAATCTGTGGGAGTACCCTGTACGATCCTCAAATTTTCCTATGTTATTAAGTCATGGACAGTTCCATGACTTATCATAAACTGACATTTATCAGTTTATAGCTGATAAATAATTATGAAAAAATTTTAACTTACAAAATGGATCTACTATTTCTCTGATGCTCAAGACTGTGTTTTCTACTTTCATATATTAGGTTGTCAAAAAAGTCATGATGCATGTTTGCAACAGATGGCACTAGTCCATTTTTGGAAGTACTAGAGTCATTCGCATCTATGTTATTGCTATGTTATTTGACAGCTGATAGTTCTAGCTTCATTCTAAAAAAAAACATTGAGCGATTTGGTTGAGTTTTGGAGTTTTTACAAGTTGAAGATGGAAGACCAAATTGTGCATTTTTGCCATATTTTACTGTTTTACCTCCATAAAGGGAAGAACGTGCGTCAAGCTTGTGAAAAGTTGCATAAAGTTTACTGTGACAATGCTCTACAAGAATGTGAGTGCCAGTGATAGTTCATGAAATTCCGTGTTGGTGATTTTGATCTCAACGATGCTCTTCGGTCAGGGAGGCCCACCGAGGTTGATGACAACAAAATAAAGGCATTGATGGAATCAAACCCACGTTACACAACATGAGAGACTGCAGAAACATTGAACATCCATCACTCAAGCATTCATGACTACCTGAAGAAGCTGGGATATGTAAGCAAGCTCGATATTTGGGTTCCACATGAACTCAAAGAAGTTCATTTGACGGCGTGTATAAATATCTGTAATATGCTCATTAAACGTAAGGAAAAGGATCCTTTTTTGAAGCGACTGATAACTGGTGATGAGAAGTGCATTGTTTACAACAATGTGGTGCGCAAACGGTCTTGGTCCTGACGTGATGATTCGCCTCAAACAACATCGAAAGCATACATTCATCAGAGGAAGGTTAAGCTCTTAGTGTGGTGGGATTTTAAAGGTGTTGTGTTTTTTGAGCTCCTACCAAGGAACCAAACAATCAACTTGAATGTGTACTATCGGCAATTGGACAGTTTGAATGAATCCATTATCCAGAAATGTCCAGAGCTTGTTAATTGTAAAGGAATTGTGTTTCATCGTGACAACACGAGACCACACATACGTTTGATCGCCTGTCAAAAATTATGGGAGCTTGGATGGGATGTGTTGCCACACCCACCATACTCGCCTGACCTTGCACCATCAGACTTCCACTCATTTCACTCTCTTCAAAACTCCTTGTGTGTTATAACGTTCAATTCAGATGAGGCTGTAAATCAGCACCTTGTTCAGTTTTTTGCCAATAAAGACAGATCCTTCTATGAACAAGGAATTATGAAGCTCACTGAAAGATGGCAAAAGGTTATCGAACAAAACGGGCAAATATATCGATTGATCTTTCTTCTTTATATAAATAAATGACCTTTGAAAAACAGAGACAAAATACGTCATGACTTTTTTGACAACCCAATACACACACACACACACACACACACACACACACACACAAAGTAATTCTGGTTCACAAATTCTCTCAAACAGAACGTGCTTTTGAAATTTTAGCTATAATTTACAAAGTAATACAATTCAAGGGCCAGGTGTGTTTAACATATCTTTAATGTCAGTATATATGTATATACATATGTCAAAATACATATATACATGTATGTATTTTGGACAGATGTATAGGGCAGCTTTGACATTTATTCAGGGTTGTGGGGGTTGAGTTGGAAGATCCAGAGTAGGAAACACTAGACTATGTGCTGAAGCCAGAATGATGATGGTATGGCCAAAAAGAGGGAAAGACAAAAGAAAGAGAATATTACCATGTATCAGATAAAACAAAGTATATTATGAAAACTATATTGGGAGGAATATAAATTAAAAATCCTCTCTCTGAACTGCCTAATTCAAAATTTCTAATCATCATAATAATTCTAGGTTATTTTCTAGAAAATTTATACAGTGCTATTTTATACCGTGAACTACCTGCTAAATTTTTTTTAATTACTTTCATGTATACAAAGCAATATAACAGTTAGACATTTACACCCCTCACAAAGTGATAAACACTCTCCCCCAAGCTACTACCCCTCTGACATCTTATATAGTTGTTACAACACCTGCTAAAGTTTTAATTGCTATTGAAAAAAAAAATCCCAAAGGCAATAGGATTTTTTTAAGGACCATAAATATGCTGATTTTATAAAATGAAATAATAGTTTTGCTGGGTTTAAAGTATGTGTGGAACTTTTGTGAAATAATCACAGAGAAAAATACACTACAGCCCACTTTTGATTTTTGTTAGACATGTGAAAGGAAACCAGGTAAAGCTGAATGCAAAGAAAAAATAGAGTGCCCCATAGGGGGCATTCAAAGTCTGCTACTACACAATAAGACTCCAATTTCTAAACTTATGGTTATCCCTTTCTTTCTTTCTTTCTTTCTTTCTTTCTTTCTTTCTTTCTTTCTTTCTTTTTTTTTAAATTGGGGAATTGGGGAGGGGGACCAGCCAAACTGTTCTTCAATCTTAGTTTTGGAGGGTGCCAGTCGCCATTTGGCTGCCGACGGGCAGCTCGTGGCCTCTAAGCTCAAGGTGCTGTGTTACAATCTTAGTTGCAGGTGGGTGTAGCCACCATCCCATGTGGGAGTCGAACCATCAACCTTGTTGTGAAGAGCGCATGCTCTATCCACTGAGCCATCCGGGCAGCAGCTCAGCTCAAGGTGCCGAGTTCAGTCTTAGTTGCAGGTGGTCATAGCCCCCCCATCGAGCAGTGAATCTTGTTGTTAGGAGCACGTGCTCTCACCAGCTGAGCCATCCTGCCACCTGTTGGCAGCTCAGTGGCAGCTCAGCTCAGATGCAGCGTCATTGGCCCATGTGGGAATCGAACCTGCGGCCCTGTTGCTCAGCACTTGCACTCTTAAGCTAACTCTTAACCAACCGAGCCACTCGGCCAGCATTGGTTGTCCCTTTCTTTATCATCTTGTTTTTCTATGTTTCCTATCACTAGGGAGATGATACAGTGATGAATTATAATTCCAGTGGTAGATTTCAGCTATATTAGGCTGTAATAAGGAGATTATGCTAAAATAATAAAAACCTTCTATAAAGCAGTAGATTTAGGAAGAAGCTATAGATTTCACTATACATACCGTCTTTTGCCATGTATAATGCGCACCCACGTTTTTGGCCCAAACTTTCAGGGAAAAAAAATCTTTAGTTTTAATTTTTTAATTCAAATTTTTATTTTACATTTAGGTACCTGTTTTTTGTACTGTAAAGGAATTTTAGCATTTATTTTTTTAACATATTATGGTACAAGAAATTTTATGTAACAAATAATTACAAAACACAAGAACAGATACAAGGTACAAGAAGTTTTATGTACCGGTAACAAATTTATGATATTTACGCATCAGAGAAGGCCAAG